TCAGCCCTGGATTTCGGGGCGGGGTGGGGCCACGACACCCTCTTTGCCAGGCTCCTACTTACTGCAGTAGGGGTGGCCACCGTGCCAGCTGTACTGGTAGCCCTTCAGCTTGGCGTCGCAGTGGTAGCCCAGGAGGTTGTCGTAGCAGCTATCGTGGATCTGGCAGCAGCTGCGTGGGAGCTCGAGGTTTTGAGAATTAAAGGGGGGGGATTTCCCCCTTACCCCCCCCGAATTGGACACCCTGCAAGGATGTGCTCAGGCAGGGAGGGTTTTTTACCTGTCTGTGTCGTCCTTGGGCTGCCCTTTGCCCCCCCAGCCGCAGTAGCAGCCGTAGGAGGCGTAATACCAAAAAGCATTTTTCCCTGTCACCTCCGTGATCAACTTGTACAGGTCCCAGAGGCTCCCACGGGCTGGGGACAAGCCTGGGGGTGGACATCGGGGGGGGATCACGCTGGCACCCAGCCCCCCAGCAGCATCCCCCCAGCACTGCAGGTCCCTGACTGGTGTCAGGCTGGTGATGGCTTAAAAATGAGTAGAGGCAAGAGAGAGGAAACGTATTGCAGCTCGGTGCAGGGGACTTGTTGCACGTTTGGGAGAGGTGGTGATGGGGAAGGGTTGAGAAATCACCAGCTTGGTCCTGATTTCCAGGGACATCGCTGCACAGGGAGCCCTGGGACAGGTCTGAGTGAGGACACTTACCCCCAGCAAACAGCAGGGCGAAGGCAAGGAGGAAGTTCATCTTTCCAGGAGCCCTGGGAGAGGAAACCAAACCATTCCTCTGTTAGATCAGCCACGTGCTGTTTTACTTCTCCCCTCATCAGGGGGGCAGAGACACTCCCCACCTCTGGAGGTGAGAGGAGCTGAGGATGCGCCCGTCACCAGGGAGGGGAAGGATGGCAAAGGGGTGGGAAAAAGCAAAACGAAGGGAAAGGAGGAAAAGTCAAAGGAGGGCTGAGCCCTGGAGGGCTGCACCCACTGCCCAGCCTCTGGGCTGGCACCTCGGGGGCTCTGCTGTGCTCCCTCTCCCCCAGCACAGAGCTGGCTCCCCGCTCACCCCACGGCTTCTGCTCCAAGGAGGGAAGGGGGGAAAGTGTTTCCCCTGTCCCACTTACCTCGGGGAGCTGCTGCTGGCTGGTGGGGCCTGACTTTATACAGGGTTTGCTGCCCCCAGTCAGGTGCTCGCTTCACCCACGTCTCGCTGACTGGGCTTTGTGGGGAAGGGGAAGGGGGCGTCCACTTCCCCTTTCCAGGAATGTGGGAAATCTCCTCAGCACCTCGGCTCCAGACCCTGCCCCGTGGGGGCTGGTGCTGTGTGGGGTGAGCCAGCAAAGCAGAGTCCTTCCCAGGCTCAGGGGAAAGGGAATGGTGCCCAGGGATCCTCCCCCTGGACTCTGCACTGGGGAGGTCACCCCTCGAATCCAGGGGTCAGTTTTGGGCCACTCACACCCAAAAGGACTTTGAGGGGCTGGAGCGTGGCCAGAGAAGGGCAACGGAGCTGCTGGGGAAGGGTCTAGAGGCCAAGTGTGGGGAGGAGCAGCTGAGGGAGCTGGGGGGGCTGAGCCTGGAGCAAAGGAGGCTCAGGGGAGACTTTCTGGCTCGGCACAGCTCCTGACAGGAGCCTGGAGCCAGGGGGGGGTCGGGCTCTGCTCCCAAGGGACAAGGGACAGGACAAGAAGAAACGGCCTCAAGTTGCCCCAGGGGAGCTTGAGGTTGGCCCTGAGGAACAATTTCTTGCCCTTGAGAGTTGTCCAGGGCAGTGGTGGAGTCCCCACCCCTGGAGGGGTTTCCAAGCCATGGAGATGTGGGGGGAGGGACACAGCGCAGTGGGGACCTGGCAGTGCTGGGGGAACCCTTGGACTCAATGATTTTAAAGGTCTCTCCCACCCAGAAGGTCTCTGTGATTCTGAGGTTCCACTGGGCCTGTGTCATTGCTGCTACAGCTGTGACTTCTCTGCTACAAACTTTCATGGTTGGACCTGATGATTTTAAAGGTCTTTTTTAACCTAAATGACTCTGTGATTCTGATTCTATGCGTTGGGCTGTGCAGTTTGGGAACTGACCCCCTGCCACACTGCAGAAGTGATCCAGGGCAAGTTCCAGTTGTTTGGGAGAAGTGGATGGGCCCCAGTGGAAGCTTCTCCACAGCTGCAGTTCCCAGAGCCACGGGGTTACACGGATCCTGGGTGGTGAAACCCTCACCTGCCATGGGAGGAGAGTGCAGCAAGGTGGGTCTTTGGGGAGGAGAGCAATTTCCCTTTCTCTCTAGGCACAATTCTTCCCCCTCCTCATTGCAACCCTGACACAGAACTCATGGAGAAACCATCATTAAATGACAGGGGAGGCTTTGAAATCTTCCCTCCTCTGCAGATAATTCTTCTTTAACCTTAATTTTGGCCACTATTTTTACGAGTAAACATCACAGGAGTGTGTCAAATCATCTCCCCTATCTTCCCACTTCCATTTTTGCCCTAAAACCACCTTCAGGCTCCATCTCAGCTGCCTCTTAATGCAAGATTTTGTTTTAGCTCTGGGACTGAGTTCAGCTTGTCTGAAGCAGCCTTGGGAGAAGCCAAAAATCCCAACAGCCATCAGGGCTCACCGCTGAGGAGTGATTTGATTCACAGACCCCAGGGAGCTTTACGTGGTGGCATCTATTGATCTATCCCCGTTAGCTGGGGGTCTGGCAACAGCAGTTTTTGCTCTGCAGCGGGCAGAGCTGTAAATCTCAGCTCCTGATGGGCCCTCAGCTTTCTCAGGCTGCTGCTGGGACCGTGGAGATATTTGGGGGGGTCAGATGGTGTGGTTAAGGGGTGAGATGCCAAAGCTGAGTGCCGCTGCAGCACCTTAACCTCTCTCTTCTTGGAAGAACACCACGGAGTCCTTTTGATTACCTTGCATTTAATAATCATTGCTGGGAACTGACATCACGAGGGAAGAGAGAAGAGGAAGGGGAAACAAAACAGCAGCTGACGGGTCTTTCTGGGAACCA